CAGTGTTTAAATTGATATGTTGCACATCATTTATTGAATGCCACAAACACACATCCTTGATGATAGATCTGTTTTACTTCCAATGAGATCCCAGTGGCTAGAAAACTTGCATCAACCTGCATGTTGAGTTTACATCTGTATATGTAGGAATTACCTTATGCAGGATCATCTTGATGGTACTCATTATCAACTACTTGAGAGAGAGGCATCATCCACTTCATCATCCTAATCAGATGCAAATTACATTTGCTTGGTGTTTTATGAATGCTGTTGCTATGCAGAGTCAATTGAAAACAGTTATGCATTCTGTGAGTTTTTTCACACTAAGAGAAAATCTTTTGGTGAGTGATGACATCAGGGAGTCTCAAATGTTCCCTTCCATCAAAGTTTGTGTTTACCACTGACTTGCAAATCTAACACATGTGCACCATTTTATAATCACCCTGGGCCCTTGTACATTAGCCAAAATTTTTCTAAATGCATTTCTACATGCTTGCAGGCATCATACTTTCTTTGACTAAAATGCTATCAGTAGAGGATAATGTTATATCCAATCTGGATTTATTCTGTAATAAATCTGTAATATCCCAGTTGAATTGATCTTGTTATTAAGTCCAAACCTCAGCTGAGGGAGGCAGTACTTCCACTCTTTAAACATCACTGTTTGAAAAAAAAAAAAAAAAAAAAAAAAAAAAAGCCATATTGACTTGTGTACATGTAAATAAGTCCTTTGTCAGATTCAGTTATTTGAATTCCACCAAGTTCTTTAACCTTTATCACTCTGTATGTGACTTCATTTGCTGTACAAAAGTTCATCCTGCCACTGAATGCAACTGATCCCTGAATACTAGTGTCTTTGAATTTCATAGTTGTGTTGTCATATCCTTCTATGGCAACAGAAAACAACTTTTAGTAAAATTAACAATAAAGACACTGTAACTTGAAAAAAAAATGCAGTGGAAAGGGAAGTAATATTAATAATGCAGAGTGCTAAGGTTAATATGAGCATCGAGTCCAAGTAGGGAGTTTAACCTTCAGTTTTCTGTTCATTATTAAGACTTCAATTTCCACATTTATATTTCCCTCAACAAGCTTAACATTTCTTGACTCCAAGGCACTTGAATCCTTTCATTTTTCTTTTCCTCAAAAAAGACACACTGATTTGTTCATGAATAATTGAGATCAACCAATGTCTACCAAGCCAGGTTCTCAATTCCACTGATATGTCCTTCAGCTACAGGTAGCACCTCATTCATTTCTTTCTTGGGAGGTGGGGAGTGGACTAGCAGTGATATCTTTTCTGTTTTGTTTCCCCTGGTACTTTCAAGAAATGTGACCCACTTTACCTCACCAGAAGCATTAGACCTCTTTGCATGCTGCTCATATGTGACCGTTACATTGATGTAAGCAATCTTTAACAAAGTGATTAGGTCCAGGGAATCTGTAGCAAGTGATATTGCTCTGCTGATTACTGCAGGGGAGTGTTTCATTTCTAACAAGTATTGGTTAGGCAGCCAACACAAGTGATTCCCATGTTATAAACTGTTCAAATCCAAACAGAACATTCTTTATTTGCTTGTCCACCTAACTTAGCTGTTGATGAACAGCAAACACTCTGACCATCAATTATAATGAGAACTTGCTTGATTTTCTTCATCCTGCTTAAATTGCATATGAGTGCCATCTTCTGAATGTATTCAATTATGAATTGGTTGGTTGCCAAGCTGTCAAATTTAGGAACCAAATTGAGGTCAAGCTGTTTGTCTACCCCTTTTCTAGGTTGCCACATTAGCCTTTTGTATTAAAAAAAAAAAAATATCATTGGCTGTTGTTCTCCCAGCCATAATCTTTGCATCTATTATTACAAGACTTGTTACTCTCTCACCATTTGGTTTGCTATTCTTTCCTTGTAGTTAATATGAAAAAATTTCCTTAGTGTCATTTTTATACTGAGGAATGAAATCTGAATATTCAAATATACTTCAGATATACATTTTTTTTTTATATTGGCTATCTCCTCACAAATACAGGGGTATTTCAATTAGATTCATTATGGTAAATGTACTAATGAATATTGTATTGACTAGTCTTACCATTCTATGAATGTCAACTCATAACAATCTAATTTGGTTTTCATTCTGGTAAGGGATGTAATGGTCACATACATGTCATCAAGCAACACCAGGAAATTGCATACCGCTCCAATAGAAAATTGTATTGCTATGCTGACCTCAAAGCAGCATATGATGACATCAATAGAGACTTTCTTTTCTCATCCATTAGAAACAGCCTTTGAAGATCTGACACTGATAGAAGAACTATATTGGTCCACAAAGTCATACATTTCTGGTGAAGATCCAAATACTGAATCATTTCAAACCTCATCGGGATTATGATAAGGAGAAAATAAGAGTGCCAATGTATTTAATCTCTTCCTAGACAATGCTCTGCACATATACAAGCACAGATGTGAAGATGGGCACTGATTATTTAAACAGTCCATAACCCCCCACCCCCACATAAATCTACTAATAGAAAAAGAGGGTTTCTGTTTTCTCTTCCTAGGACAATGTATTGATGATAGAGGGGGGCATGCTGATGACAGGTATTTATAGTTAGAATAAGAAACATCTTGAGTAAAGAATAAAAAAAGAAACAACATTCTCTAACAAGTGTTCCAAAAAGTAGGACACCAGATAAACTTACCAAAACAGAAACTATGATCTGGAATTGAAATTAAACACTTGAAATGCCTCAGTGTATTGATTATTTATAACAAATTTAATGAAGAAGATAAGGAAATTAAACATAGAAGAGGCTGCAGTAAAGGTAGTTTTGTGTAACAATGCAAGAAGCTACAAAACAAAAACATTAACCCAAGAACTGAAGTAATGTTCTTAAATAGCCTCATACAATCAAAACTTTCATACGGATGCTATGTATGGTGACAAACTCATTTAAAAATATCTAAACTGTCTGCAGTATAGAATGGCTTTCTCAGATCATTGATTAAAATGGCTTTGCGTGTATGAATCCTGTAGGTCTTAGAGAGGATGAATCACATACAAAGAACTTTACCAAATAAACTACATTATTTGAGGACTTTCAACATTAGCAGCAACAACTAAAATGGATAATACATGTAACTTAATGAGAAAATAATAACATAATCAAGATGTTGGCATTCGACACTACTTCAGACAAAAGATTAGGAAGGAAACCCTAAACAATACAGTGATAATAGTGAACTTGACAGAATTATTTTCCTGAAAATTGGTTTAATAGTAAGATTTCACAAATTTCAACCAAAAATAACACTGGCTGCTTGGTCAATGAATGCCAAATGTTTTCTTATAAGGAAATGGTTAATATTATTACTGTTTCTTTTGAAGCTGACCAGTAAATCCCTGGTTTTAATTGTTCCATGATAGTCATATCCACTGTTTCCATCACATACTGTTAATTAAAAAATTCAAATTTTCTTCTTTTTTTTTTTTTGTAAAATAAGATGACAGAAGTATTTAAAAGGCCAATATTAGAAAATGTATATAATGATTATTTTCCATCATCTTGCAAAATTAACTTAACAGTAGAAGATTAATAAGACAAAGAATCGCTCTGAAGAGAATCTGGAAAAGTACATCATTTGAAGATTAGGGAGATTTCCAGGTTGGTTTTTAGATTGGACAATTAAAACCTATTTTGTCTGATTTTCTGTTTCTAGATATGCTTTCAAAATTCATCGACTACAAGACTAAAATGTAGTCTCTATCATAAAGAAATAAATAGTTGCTCATATATTGACAATATTGTTTACTTAATATTAATTCATAATTAAAATCAAGATGATCACTTATTAAAAAAAAAAAAAAAAAAAAAAAAAAAACAAAAACTTTTTTTTTTTCTTTTATAAAATCCTATTGAGGATAATAGTAGTGTAGGGGACTATGTGGGTTTGAGTGTTGTTGAATGTTTGTACATACGTGTATGTGTGTTTCATGGCATTTTCCCCACAAGTGGGCAAAATGCAGATCTTTACGAGAGATCACATTTTTAAATGTGTCTGCTGAAATGCAAAGTAGAAAAGAGAACGAGGCAAAAAGTCAATGAAGAGGATAATTATCTAAATTCTTTATAGTTGAAACCCATTACACTTTGATGTAAATATTATTTAATTCTTTAATCTTAAAGGTTATTTGCAAAATATTCTTGTATTGTGACTTAAGGATTGGTGGATAAAAATGTGGGAATACTAGTTCTAAATAAGTCACAAGACAAAAAGTTGTGTTCAAATTCAAATTTATTTTATATCTTCAACATCATGTAATTTTTTTCTCAAATGAGAATTTTCTAACAAGAAAAAAAAAACAAACACTTTCTTATTATTCAATACATTTTATGTAAATGTTTAATTTAGTTTTATTTTATCCTTACAATTAACTGTTTAAATTATTATCATGAGGGAATATCTCAGATTTAACAACTGAAACCTCATCCTTCATAGACTTGAAGACTGACTGCTACAAAGGAAAGGGTTTGTTTCGAAGCACTGCCTAGGTATTACCTCAGTTTGTTTATTCATAACGCTTAAACTTTAAAAAAAAAAAAAAAAAAAAAAAGAAGCCTTTTCTTCTTATATTGTGGTATACTTTTTAGTCAAGTTAGTATTTGTTTTATGCATCTTATAGTTAATATCACTAAACTGATCTCCTGTGCTCTCATATATAACTACAGTGTAAAGAATAAACAAAAATATTCTCAAAAGGTAAAATTTTTCAGTTTTTATGATCTTTATATTCAAACAAGGAAACAAAAAGTGCCTATAATTATCAATGAAATCAACTCGGTGCAGGAAAGGTTTCTTGATTTATCATAGGATTGTGTACAAAATAAATACATTTGTATTGAGACAATATATCACAATTATACAAACTTGATTAATAAAGAGGATTCATTCAATGTAAATTAAGATTATTCAAGAAAGAAAGAGGTTAACTTACTGAAAACAAACACTGCACAGCAGCATGTATAAATTCTACATAATAATAGTCTATAAGACAACCTTCTACAAATTCTTCAGGTGGAATCGGCCTGCTGGTTTCTCCATGGTAGCTTTTCTCCCATGTATCATTTGTTACATGGCAGCCAATGCCATGTTCTAACCACCAGCTTTTGTTTTTGGTACCAATATTTAGAATATACAATTCATTGTTCTGTAAAGAAAAAAAAAAACATGTTAGAAAGAACATGAAATGCAGAAAGGTGCAAGATAAAGATAATCAAATATAATCAAAGATGCCTCAATAAATAGATTTGGGCTGAAGAATTGCAAAAATGTCCCCAAATCAAGATTGCCTTGCCCCTTGCTCATTTAAAAAAAAAAAAAGTCATACTTTGTACATTTACACTTTACTATTGCAGTTAGCATATGACCTTAACAATATCCTGTTAATACTATGATAATTTGTTACTGACTGCTATTTTGTTGAGATTCTCAAATACAAAATGAATAAAGTACAGGTTGTGGTGGGTAAATTGTCATCTAAATTACACAAAAATGAAAATAACTCTGACATCTCATTTTAACAGATATATTTACCAAAATTATACAAATATATCTTCAACCACTGCTTCCAGACAAGTTCAGAATCTCCTGCAACTCTTCTGAACAGAGTCTTTGTTTAAGTTGGCAAATTCTGCCAAAATCCTTGCCTTCAGTTCATTGTTTTTACAAGGAGTTTTGTTGGTCTCTCGCTCACATGCGCCCAACACATAATCAAGGGGGTTGCAGTCTGGGAAGTCAGGTAGCCAGATGTAAGGGGTGACAAAAATTGTCTGACAGCCATGACTGGATTCTCCTGCTTGTGTGGCATTGTGCACAGTCCTATTGCCAGACACAGGGTCTTTTAGCAGCCACCCTCTTGACCCAGGGCAGCACTACCTCCTCAAGAACACTTTATGTAGGCCTCTGTGTTGAGTCTGATGCCCTCATCAACAAATTTGGGAGTTTTTTTCTTATCAGAATGATCAGATAACGTTTTCCAAACTGACATACTGTCGTAATCACCATTAGACTCATCCAATTCTTTCTAAATCCTCTGCACGGTCTTCAGATTGACACTCAAACACTAAAATGTTTGTACTGGAGCTTCTGGCATGAATGCCAAACAGTACAGCATGCTGTTTCCAAATTTCTGGTGGTGTGAATTGCATCATGGTGATCCTTTTCTCATAGACAGTGCTCAACTGACCCTACTATACTGTACAGTTGACAAAATCGAAAAACAAACAATGTGCATGCGCGAAATTAAAAATATAAAATGGCAACAATTTACTCATTGTACTCTGTATGTGGCAGACATTAGTAAATTATTGTTTGAGACAGTTACATAGATTCATACATAATACATAAATAGCATATTTTCCAGGAAAGTGTTAATGATGTTGGATTAGTGATGGCTACCTTAATCAGCTGGTCCCTTTGGTAGGAACCTCAAATGTTAAAGCCTTTTCTGTATTGTTTCAGATAATTTTTCTTTAATGTCTGTATGCACAGAATTCATTAAATAGTCCAATGGATAATTTAGCTGCTGTTGAAGACACCTTTGAATGCATCTAACATTTTAAATTAGGTCATGAGATAATGTATTTGAAGAAACAAAAACAAGTGCTACATCTATTTCTATAATAAGAATGGTTTTCTTTGGATTTTCAGTATGGAATAAGAGACAATTTAGATTGTCATCTTTAAGAAGTAAATGAAGTGAAATTCAAATCATAATTTGTCAATAACAATTTGCACAATATAATCCAATTCTACATTATTTTAGCTTACAGTAGACAATCACAGAGGTTACAAAAAAAGGTGAGAGACTGACCAACTGATAAAAGGTAGAAAAGAAAGAATTTCTATGTTAGATTATATAGGTATATATGTTAATAGAGTGTCAAGAGACAAAAAAAAAAAAGAACCAAATTGGCAAAATCCATTTTTTACTTGTTGCAGATTTGAATATTGTCTAATTTACCCAGATTCATTTTGAAATTCCAGCTTGTAGAAGTAATTAGACATGGTTAAATGCAGTTGGCAGAAATGGCCAAAAAAACAGAATTGAAAAAGTTTGAAATAAACAATGAAAGAAAACAGGGCAAAAAATATAATACTAAGCAAACAATATATGCAAGAGAAAAGTAGACAAAGCAACATTAATAAGGTAAAAAAGATACACAAAGTAAAAATGGTGCTAACACACAAAAGGGATACAGATAAGTGATTGCAGCATTCTGACTTCAAGACGAGAAAGAACAGAAATATGGCAGATAAGACTGAGAAGTAGCTATGAAGAAATCCCAACATGCATCTGTAGGTTTTGTCTATAAATTTGGAGAGGGATTGTTTTTGCAGTCATACCAATCAAATTGAAACCAACTTAATGCAGTAAGTCTTTAAAAAAAAAAACACAAAAGGTTAACATAAGTAACTTAGATTGGTCTACTGAAACTTAAGAAAATCAAGAAGTATAAATAACTATTGGGTTTTGTAATGGTTCAGTCATTAGAAACTTGCCATCTAGGAAAATGTGGATTTCACTTTATTTCATGTGTCCTAAGTATGAATAACAATCACAAAGCTAAATATAGGAGAACAAGTTTCAAATTCTTCCTTTTGATAATTGTGAAAATTAGAATATCTAGGTAGGTTAAATATCTGCAAAATTTGTTAAAGAATACCTTTGCCAAATTATACATGATATATTTCTATGCTTCACAAATCCATTAAAAATATGTATTTTAAAAGAATCATGTTCATCTTAATTAAATGACATAAAAGAATTACAGTCAAGGTTTGTACAAAATAAGAAAAGCAGAAAGAATATCATTATAAAGATTACAAGAGATGCGGCTCTTAGCAAAATTTTGATTAAGAATACAGATTAATATGAAGTAAAAGAATTTTATAGAAAGTTAAAAAAAAATTGAAGAGAGATTGATTAAAGAGACTTTAAATTCAGAAAAAAATAATCTAATGCCATTTATCATTACAACTCAAACTATAACTTAATATAAACCCTGATGGTTGGCTTTGAAGTTACAAAATAGTCCATATATGTGTATGGGGGGTGGGGACAGAGATACAATTCCTTTTAAATATTCTGATAACAGAGAAAAGATGTTAAATACATTCAAATGTATAGAAGATCAGAGATAATGAGAGAATCAAAGTCCAAATCAGAAAAATCGAAAAGAAACAATGGGCTTTGCTTGAAAGGTTCTTATAGAAAAATACTTGAAGAATTATTTATGCAACCACTATGAAAACGCTTCTTACAGACAGCTTGAGATTCAACTCAATTATTTTTGTAACCAAATGAGCCTAAAGTATAAAAATCTAAATACAAAGATGAGCAGTTCAATATCTATATTTTAATGCTAATTATTACAAATTATTAATCAAAAACTTTAATTAGTTTCCAGGCATGGACAGGTAATTAACATTTAAACTATCTCCCCTACTAGCTTTTCTGTTAGTGAGGAGGGTGGCATGTCACCCCTACTAGATGAAAAAATAAAACCCATCAAATGAACGATGAGCATCTCATAGCAACCAACAGACAACATAAGCCTAGGATGGGGGTCACAAGCCTTGAATAGAGATGGAGTCTTAATAAAAGCACTCCATGTACTTGGACTAGCATGATGAGTGCCTGAGTTGGGTGCCAGGAAGAGTATCTGGCCTTGTAAAATCCTGCCTCTAATCATTATGATAAATTCATTACCAGGAAGGACCCACCTTTCTTTATTTGAGATTAATCACAGTCCTACTTAAAAAAAAAAAAAAAATATTAAAAAAAAGACCTGGCACAGTGGATAAAGGCATTAGTTAGATCCAGTGACAGGACCCAAAGAATGCGAGTTCAATACCTGGTTATGGTGGTGGTGGAGAACTTGGCGAGGGGAATTAAACAGGAGATAACTGATATTCATTAGACATGGCACGTGGAACTAGAACAGTCTACCCCAATGAGCGAAATAAGGGGTTCATTTCAAAATTCCAACCACCTGAAGGCCAGAGCGTGATAAATGTGGCGACAGAGATGAGGAAAATAGTCCAAATAATGTAAATGATGTACATAATACCTCATCTCAGAAATATAGACAAAATCTATGGTATTTTTGACATTTTGAGATTAATTTGCTTTCACTAATAATGGAATAAAAATGACCATCAAGAATAACATAATCCTTTATTAATATATGATATATAAATATATATAAATATATATAAAAGAAATAAAACTACAGCTTTAACTAAAAATCATCAATAATCCAATTAGAGAGGATAGGAAGAAATTTTGTTATTCCAAATGTAATATATTTGTAATTGAACCAGAAATGTTTGCATGTCAACATTCTACATAACACTACAATAACAAAAACCAAATATATTCATTAGAAAATAATTTTTTATGGATTTTCTTTTTAAAATTCAAAAGAAAAAAAAAAAAGTTGAAATTATTTCTAATGTAAGAATTTAAAGAATAGTATTCATAAACAACTCCAATATACTATATAAACATTACTAGCAGAACAAATCAATACTAAAGTACTTAGTTGGGCAGATAATTCCATTTTTTACTGGATAATGGTCACTTCCTTTTACTTTTGGAAATGATCATTCCTAGATGATTTTTTTTTTTCAGCTACGATTTTCATATATTTTTCCAATGAAGTTTTTTTTTTTTTTTTTTTTTTTTTGACTTTGAATTCCAAGTCTAGCATTTCAAATTAGGGAAAAAAAAATGAATAAAAACATCCCAGAACCTTTACTTCATGATAAAGGTAAGTATTAAAATATAAAAATATTCCCTATATGTATATCAAAAAAAGAAGAGAAAAAGGTTAAATTTGCCAATTTTGAAAATTCTTAATTTAAAGCCATCTTCAGTCTAAAATTCATTAAAATCAGTTCAAACATTTTGAATTGACAACTACTTGACAGCATCAATTTTAATATAGATATTAATTAGCAATATTAATACGAACAACAATAGGCTCTTCTCCATCCCATCTCATATTTAATTGGATCAATTCTGTCTGCACATGAATGCCAAACTTTATAATTTAGAAATATTAATAATAATGCTTTTAATAAGACACTACAATTTCAAAAATAAATAAATAAATAAAAAACAAAACATGCCATTCAACTTGT